CACTTGGCACTTATATCCCGGCGTCACCGTGAAAATGATGGTCTTAAAAAATCGCCACGGGAAAACCCGTAGCCGGAGAATAATATTTCGATTTATGTAACATTGCAATATAAAGAAAGTCAAAAAAAAAAGAAAGAAATACTTAAGAGAGAAACAAATGTAATCAAAATCAAACTAATATCGCGAGAAATAACGCCGAGAAAAAATTTTGAGCAAGAAAATTGTTTATCTTATCCAGTCGTGTATAATAAAAATTCTTACTTGATATTTGACGTAACGAAAACTTTCAATTAAAACGCCTTTAATTTCTAAAAAAAAATGAAATCGCATTGTTTGATCCTGTGATCCTTGCTGCAAAGAAATGTTCGGGAAAAAACATGTTTTCTTTGAGCAATAAAAATTTGTCATCTGTCTTTCTTTTCAACGCAGTAGGAATTCGAAGAACACCGGGACAAGAGGTTTTCCAAGGAGAAATTCTACCTGCGTGTCCTTTGTAAAACTTTAACTCACTTGAGACAAAGTCTTTGAATGAATCAAAAGCAGGTGAAAACCGAATAACGCCATCCTTAGCGAGCGACAACCCGCAGAGCCGACAAGAAACTTGTCAAAGAAAATAACGGGGATTCAGGTAGACGCCATTAACGATTCATGATTACCATCTGCATTCTACGAGTGGCCTCGCAAAACCGAGCGTTGACGCGCAAAATAAGAATTTATTATGAGGAACGATCCTCGTCGCTCACACAAATTTCCTTACACGGTCATTTTGTATGACTCCACCACGACACTATCTCACGGCGGATCGTGAAAAAGTGCGATTTAATGCACTGGATATTGGAGGAAGCGGGAGCACCCAATAAGATGTCGGGAGAAGAACAACGGACACTACGGGGGCCCGAAGGCAGCTTTGGGAGCGGCAGCGCAGCGACAGAACAATTTGTGCGCATAAATCACCGAGCCATTTCTTCATATCGTTTAATATGAATCGTCCCGTCTGTTTCGTCCGTAAAGCACGAGGCGTCGGGAACAACGGTTGTACCGAGATTGATTGCGAACTATAATTCGGTTACGGGCCAAAGTGATGCGAATCGAGAAAAAAATCCAATTTGAAATCGAATTTTCGTATGATTTTCGATATTTACATAAAGTTTGCCAATTCGGCGAGCGTGTATTTACGCAAACATGGATTGTCCAAATCTTGTAATTAATAACAGTTGCTCTCTGTTCTTGGAAAATTTTTGATAGAACGAAAGCGTTTACCGCAACGTCATAGCGCGCACATCCAATATTTTTCATGCCGCGGTGCACGTCGCTTTTCGCGGATAAAGGCAGCCAGAGAGGCGAGAGAGAGCCAACGTCGAATTCGGCTCACGTACGCATTTATCCTTTTTGCGGAATGAGTGATAATTCGACGAAATCGAATTACCAAGCCGGTCCGGCGTGAAAAGCGCCGAAGTTAGCCGCAGCGGACGGTAACGCGGCGGTGCGCTGCGCAGCGCGTTTTCAAAATTTAATTATGATGTGCTGCACGTGCGCGAGGATCCTCGCTCCGTGCCACACATATATATGATACAAATTTTTTGGAAAAAATTGAAGAACTCCTTTGGATTCGTAAAAGAAAGCAAACCTAGTGCGATCGAAAAATATAAGAAAAATTAACAAAAAAATAAACAAAATTCGTATATTTTACACACATTTTTGAGCGTCTAAATTTTGAAAAAAACTTCATTAAAATATATATAGTTTGGTTTGTCTCATTATACTAACAAGAAAACTGTGACTCATGTATAGAGGCAAGAAGTCGTATGACAGATAAATTTCCAGTACATTACATTTAATAGCGTCGTGAGAAACGCCTCAGTTTAGCGCATTTAACCCTAGAATCTGTTTTAGCCGAATGGTATTTGCTTGCATACCGTTTCTACCTAAACCCAAGCAAAACATTTAGAACCAGTACAACCATTCAACAAACGCTCTTAAATTTTTCAACATTTTATCTTCTAGTGAATTAAAGAATATATATATAATTCTGATCTAAATTTCATAAAATTAGTCTAAAAATCGTAGACATATTTAAAATAAAATAACATAGAAAATATACAGTGCTTTTAAAATAACACAGTTGAAAACAAATAAAAAGTAACATGGTTCAAAATTTTTTATCTTAAATTTAATCTTATTTAATTCGTGATATCTATTGTTAAAAGGACTGCTTGATGCAAGAGAGCGGAGCTCCTTTACAAACCCAAAGGAATCCTTCAATTTTTTCCAACAAATTTTAGAACACGTCAAACGCAAGAGATATATTGCAATTGCCAAACACACACATCTGCTTCTCATAAATATGACAACGTAAAGAAACTCATTCGAATATTCGCTCTGTAAGACTGACCGTTTGGATAAGCGTCCATAAAAGACATGTGGTCCCACCGAGAAGCGCATAAACATATGCCTCCGCTGGAATATTTTCTGAGAAAAGTAAGCAAGAGATGTGTGTGTCCCGTCGAATCGCCGGTTAAGATCTTCGAAAATTTATATCGACTTATGTGAACGATATCGGGCGAGAAACAGAATCCGTGCCGAGAGAGCCGAAACGTCGGGTGGCATAGTGGCGCGTGAAACAGCGTGGAGAAGGTCGAAACTTATCTCCCAACGAACACCGAGAGGATATCTTGTAGGTCCCACTAGTGCATTTAGAATAACTTACGGCATCATGAGATTACAGGTCTGCAGCATAAACTCTCCTTACTCCCCTCGCGTTGCCGTGCTGGTGCCATTAATTAAGAGCTTCTAAGGACTGGAAAGGGTGCAATCTTCCGCACGGAGACGCCGCGACGCATTTGGGTACCGTCGACGGAAAAATTTAATCTGGTGTTACAACATGCGCTTGTGTATGTGAAAACGCACTAATTATTCAATTATCTTGCGCAGATCAACCTTTGGATCGATAGGTCTGATTAACGACGCATATTTCTACTGAATCGGAATAAACTGTCACGGAGCAATATAGAGAAAGGAGATGAAAGACTGGAGTGATCGGACGAGCTCGTGGAATTATACGCATGTTTCGAAGGGCCTTAAGCCACTCTCTCGTCTTATCGATAATGTGTCTCCAGAAAGGGTCCCGAGTTTTGTAATAAATCAAGCTCGAGGACGCAGTTAGGGGAATCAAATCGTCGGTAATTAAGTCTGACATTCCCGTAGTACAAACAAATAATATCGAACAGAAGCATTGCGAAAAATGTTTTAAAGCTAAAAAAATGATAAAAAGCAGGATAATTCATAAACAAATTATGCAGCAGAATTTTACATTAATAGACAACTAATAACAACTTATAACACCAACACACCAACACAATTACAGAAGCAGAATTAGAAAACACAAGGGAAGGAATAGAAATAGAAAATATAACGGAAAGTCAAGTACGAATCACAATATCAAAGCTAACAGATAGAAAAGCGCTTAGCAAAGATAAAATTTGAAATAAATTCATTAAATATGATAGAGAGTACTTTGTACACGAACTGACAAAACTTTTCAATGCAATACTAGCCAAAAGAAAACTAACAGAATGGAAGAAAAATGTAATCATACTATTTTTCAAAAAAGGGAACAAAAAAGACTTCTGTAATTACAAGACATAACACTATTACGTTTGGTAATGAAACTGCTTACAAGTGTGCTCTCAACAGAAATATCCAATGAATATTGGATGGAATTATTTTATTCAGAAATTGTTTAAAGTTGGGAAATTGTTGTAGAGTTTGAATATAAAACTTTTGAAATGCGTAGTAATATATATCTACGAGCGAGAGATTAATTTAATCTCTCAATTCTTTGGCTACAAAATACATATATTTAAATAATAAACAAACAATTGCATTTACCTGTTAGAATATTCTGCAAGTTGCTCTGCTCCGCTGTAGATTCTTATTTTTCTTCATATCGTAAACGAGATGCACACTTCACTTACGCGTAGTTTATGCCGTAAATTCACCACTCCGCGTTACATAAAATACATACTTTATACTACGATGCGTCTAACACATAATTTCCCCGATTATCATAACCTTACTTTTTCCGCGAATTATTTGACACGAAACGCGCCTTCGAAGCGAACGAAACGAACAATTGCGCAACGATCACCGGCTATGCACAATTAATTATATCAAGTTACCCTATTCACTTCCGATATTTTGCAGTTTGCTTTATTTCCCTGCAGTTTCCTTTTTACAACCCAATCTTCAAAACAATTAAGACGAACGACGATTGTCGTTCACGGCGATTATGCATCATCAACTATGCAATAACACAACGTTTTACGGTACTAAATTCCAACAAGCTAAATATTCAATATACTACATCTAATAAAAAGTACTGCACGTAGAACATTTTAAATGATTATTTTGTGAATGAAATAAAAACTTGCATATTTACTGGAATTGTTAACCTCTTTTTTTTCAAACTGTCCGACCGCCAAACAATCGACGCCGTCAATTATCATCACCCGTGGAAAATAATACTTTACGCAATCGCCCGTCACTTTAAACGGCACTCCCGATAAAAATTCACTACACACTTACTACACAATCACTGCACACTTTTATTACGATATTATTAAAATTCAAATAAGTACTTGAACGATATGATACTTAATTGTCCTAACCGGAAAAGATGGAATCACAGTGATCTGATATTGGCTGCGTTTCGAAATTCATTGCCACTGAAAATCTATAATATATGCGACGTAAACTATAGATTTCCAGTACTGTCAGTACATTAATACTGAATTTCGGAACACAGCTGTTACAACAGCTGCTGAGCCGTGGACCTCTGTCCACAATATCGCATCACTGCGGAGAACAAGTCGGTAGAAGAGAAAGCGCTACCGGTTATAGCGCCCTCTATTTTACCAGCTACTGTAGTTACTTTCGTTCTAATTAGTAATGCATCGTAACGCGCCACAGGACGCTTTATAAAATGTCAGTTACTGATTGCATAAAATCGCCATTTTGTGCGTAACGATCTCGTAGGTTTTACTGTGCATAGTAATTGCAAATTTTTATCGGGAGTGCCGTTTAAAGTAACGAGCGATTATCATAACGTATTATTTTCCACGAGTGATGAATTGACGACGTCGATTGTTTGACGATCGGACGCCGGTATAAACAAAGAGGTTAAGAATTCCAGTAAATATGCAATTTTCCATTCACAAAATAATCACTTAAAAGACTCTACGTGCAGAAGAAGTGTAGTGTATTAGAAGTGTAGTGTAGTGTAACAGATGTAGTGTATTGAACATTTAGCTTGTTGGAATGAAGTACCGTAAAAAAAACGTTATTGCGTATCCGATCTTCGCACGACTGTCAAGACAATCGTCGTTCATCTTGAATGTTTTGAAGACATGCTGTAAGAAGGAAACTGCGGGGAATGGAGCAAACTGCAAAATATTCGTGTCGGTGAGTACAATATAATATAATATGTAAGAAAACACGCCACGAGGATGGCATCGCAAGGATTCCTAAAAGGCCGCTCGCAGCCCAAGGGCCAACGTAAGTAACGAAGGAAGGTCGAGGGGTGATAATTGTCGGGATACTCGGGATTCGCCCTTGGCCCCACGAGGCCGTAGATTACAAACTCTGCCTCCCGTCTCACGCCTCGCGCGCTTTCTTCCGCCCTCGCTGAGGCACGCTGCCTAAAGTATACGCGTTTACGCGAATGGTGTGCCGGCCGCCCTTCCTCTGCTTTCCTCGTCCCTGTAGCCTTTCCGCCGTCGCTTGATTTATCACACGACACGGCATTATTAACCTCGCGGCTAGATAAGGCATTAACATCGCTCGTCTCGCCTCGTCTCAAATATTAGCCATCGGTTTTTCAAGAGAGTTTCAAGCCCTTAAGGAACGGCTGAGGATAATTAACGTACCGTCGTATGACTCACGCGAGCTACCGTAATGCATGTAAATTTGAAGCGAGGCTTAAGCGCGAGAATGCCCTTTTTCGTGCGATAACTTTCCCTACACGCTATTCTCTCTGGCGTTGCTATTATTACTATAACATTCCGTTATAAAGAAACGAGAGATGATAACGGAGAATTTATTAACATGAAAAAGCGTTGATGATAAATATTTGATTTATTTTGTCCGTGTTGGTTAATTGAAAAACGTGTAGACGTTTTAGATGGAAGTTCATAAATCAAGTATATATAAAGTATAATAATTATAACAATAAATTATAATTAAAATTCTGAGTAATAATTTAAATTAGTGTGATAAAGTATTTGAATATTATACGTTACTTTACATTTTTCATATTTTGCTTAATTATTACAAAATTTTTCATCTAAATGGAACCATAATGATCATATGAATAACAATATTATTTATAATAATTTAAATAAAATACGCGAGGACTGCAAAAACCATATTCACGTTTTTGATGAAACAAATGGAGAATACAATGAACTGTAGAGAATCTTGCTTTTATATGCTCTTCATATGCGTTCTATTTGACTTATTTTTCATCAGCCGAACAAAGCACTCTACAGAAATTACAATTCAATTCTTTTTTCACTTTACACAACACATCACGGAGATTTCAAAAGAATGAAAAACTTCACGATCTGCGTCTTCTCTCGATACGCCTTGCAATCTTTTGCATCTTGCACAAGCACACTGAGAGCTTTCTTGAGAGTCTGAAACCTTCCCGGTCCAATAATATCTCACATTCGGATCGTGAATGGCTTTCTTATCTCACCGGAGATGAGAGACGCTAAACCTTTTGAGATAAAGCGAGAAAGATTTCCACCGTGCGATTTGATGGATCAAACGTGTCGGCCTGTTGCGTGTTCCACGTGTTCCTCCGCTCGTGCGCTCACGCGTCGCGACGCGACAAGAAAGCGGGCGTGAGACGTCTCGTCATTGATTCGATCAGACGGGCGGCATCGGTGTTACGCACAATCACACATAAATCAGTAAATACCTCTTGTTGAATTCCAATGAATCTTTATTATTGTAGAATAAATCCAAAAGTTGTATCAAAGTTATCGTAATGAATTTCAAGTTCTCGTTCCAAGAAATCGAAATACTTTTTTATCTGCTCGTCAATTTCAACTTCTATTATTAATTACAATTGAATTCACGGATTGATGATAAAAGATCGGAATAATAACACTCAGAAATCAGTAACGGAAAGTATATCCGCCGGTTCAGTTAAACTCTGACCAGCCGCGAACTCCGTTCGTAGATCGCGAGATTATTTCAACAACCGAACGTTAAGCGTCGGACTTGACGGATCCCGCAGATAAGCAGGGGAGATTTGATTTCCGGAAACGACGAGAGACGAATTAATCGGCCCGGAGGGGGGAGGGATGCAAGATAGGGCGAGGGAAGATATCCGCAATGCCGCGTGGTGGCCGATAAATTTGCTGGAAGTTTAATTTCATTTTATAGGCGCGATACTTTAGCGAAAGCACCTGCACTTTACGCTAACGGCGCCGCGCTGTCGTGAGAGTCGCGAGGAGGGCGCGGGGGGAGAGGGAGAGATGGCCTGTGTGCTACATGGCGCGTCGTGCTAGGAATTATACATTATACCGCCCTAAATCATGGCTCAGGCGCAACCTCATGTAATTATATCGTCGTTTTTAGAGCCCACCCTTAATACGCCGTTATGTGGCCCGTGAGTCTTACTAACGTTTCGCGCTATCTTCTCTCTTTTCTTCCTATCGCACACGCGAACCTGCAATGGTATGTTGCTTCCTGTGGAATAAACAATATTATTGCACTTGATACTGAACAGAAGATAGTTAAAATTTTCAAAATTTTTTAAATAAAAAAACAGGAAGAAACCAAACAGAAAAAGAAAGATTATAACCTTACAATCTTTTTCCTGTTGCATTTTTAAAAATAGATTTATCAATTATAATCAGTCTAAAGAGTACATGAATATTTCAAATGTTTTTCTACATTTTAAGCATAATATATATTTAAAATGTTTTCCGATTTCTCAATATCCGTGACGTTACAATTATCCATTCTTAATTACCGATCGTGATTATCAACTTCCGTCGTCAACGAGAATCTAAAATCTAAGTATGAATGTCATTGAAGCGCAAGCAACCGGCAATCCCTTAAATTGAGTACTTCCGCTATTTACGTTACGCGTCGAAAAGCAAAGCTTGTTTCCTGCGCAAACAGAGAACGGCATAATATAATATTAATCGACGTGTTGGTACGCGTTCATGCCGGTTAGGAGGATGGCTCCGCCGCGGCCAGATTGCCAGTCGTACGAAGACAATGAGAGTGTGGGAGGGGCAGAGAGGTGCTGATCAAACACTTGATTAAAGAAAGTTTCCGATAGCTACTTCGCGAGAAAACCGACGTCCCGCCCGTGGTGATTGGATAAGGTAAGGTACCAAGAATTTCCACGTCTTCCGCCCTCCCTCTCCGCCCTGCTCCGGCCCATCGCCGATACCGTCCTGCTCTTTCTCCCTTCATCCTAAACTAGAAAGTTTTTCGAAGCGATCCGGAAGTCTACTTGGCTGTTTTCCCTTCTTTGCCGAGCGTTCCGTTTTCACGACAGGTATTTCGCCGCGATCTCCACAGCGATTTAACGAAATTAATCTACAGCCAGGGCGTTGTTATTTGCGCGCTTATTACGCCTTTTAAATTAAACGAAACGGAAATTTATGCGAAATACTGCGATATCGCAGTATTTGTTGTGTGTCAGGTGATTTACAATTTTCTTAATTTATGAAGCATTTTATATTTAATGAATTATTTTTTAACATCTAATAATCATATAATTTATATATATTATTGATATATGTGGAATTTTATTAATCTTAAGCATATATCTATAATATAATCTTTGCCGTTTTTAAAAATAACACTCGTATTTCTCTGTCTCTCTCTTACGTCGAAGAAAAAAAAAACGAATTAGAATGTCTTACCTCCACCATTGTGCTATCTGCATAAATCTTGCGGAGAGAACGGTTATTAAAATATCAAATATTCCGACAAAAGGCGGACGCTTAATCAAATATAATCCGGTTATGTATACATTTAATATCGGCGCATCTGACGTTCCCGTTCGGAAACAGTTTAGAGGAGAGGATAACGACATGCAGATACGAAAGGCCGCAGTTTTTAAATGACTGAAAAAAAAGAAGAGCCGAACCGAGAGAGAAAAGGTTTGGGCCCGGCAAAAGAAGGGGGGAGGGCGGGGGGAACGAGACAATTCCGAACGAATGAAATGTAAATCGAGGAATGAAGGTAACGTTGCGGAAAATTAAATACCATTTGAATAACGCAAATGCTAATAGAATTATCGGGCTGATCGATTAAAGCAATAATACTGCCTGTCTTTCTGCCACTCGTGCGGTTCTCGCCTTCATCCCTTATCGTTTCCCCTCCTCCGCGCTCATCTCTTCCTTCCAAAGTCCCCTTCGTGTCTCTTCCGTACCGGTGTCTTAGCGAAGAAAGACCGTCCTCCATTCAAAATCCTTCCGCTTCCCGAGGGGAAACTTTTTTTTTTCTATCCGAAGTCATTTTTCGTCCGACTACGATTTCTCTTTCATCCTTTCGGAAACGATGATTTTTTTTTGCTCTCGCCGCTACAAATACGACGTTGAAGAAGCGCGAGCGACGGCTAAAGTCGATGGAAGGCACAGGCGGGGGAGCCTCGGCTGAATCTTCGACATCGAGCGGGGAGAGATCCCTTTTCACCCGTCGGCTTTCGTTAACGAATGCTACGCAGGTACGATTGTTTAACGCAGCAAGCGTGAGAAGCGAAGCTTTTAGCTCAAGACGAATGAGACGACTGACTCAGTCTCGGCACCAACAGCAGGAAATTGCGTTTCATTGTAGCGAGACGGTGTTTGCTCCCAAGGTACGATACCTACCTCTACGGATCCCTCACTCATTCCGCCAACCCCTCCCCCCCTTTTCTGGCCTCTATGTTTCTCGGCTGTTTGCAATGAGATACGAATGACAATTACACCTAGGTATGTAAGAGCCGCCGCCGCCGCGAGCAACAGGGATTTAAAAGCGGGGTCTAGGTCTATGCGGGGAAAATTAGAATCGTCAAAGAAATCGTTTTAAAGATAGAAGATAAAGGGAGGAATTTAATTTCAACGCGACGGAAATTCTGCGAAAATAATTTACGAGTCTTACACGCCGAAAAGTCTCAAAGTAATTTTCAAAAGAGCGGCCCGATGTAGATATTACATAAGAACTTAAATAAAAACTTTCCAAGAAAAGCGTCGCGATCCTTCTCGCCGCGATGGCACGCTCTGTAATCATCTTATGGAGTGCGAGGAGCTTGAACGTAGGAGATATAACTCGTATATATAAGGGTGGCAAAGAGGACTGCCAAGCAGATTGAGCGCGACGGGGCAGGCCTGTCCCCACGTGGCCGAGCCCCTGTTATTTATATTCATATCGATGCATAGGAAAAGTTGGCA